ATATTCAATTGTACATAGATTTTATGACTTAAAATGCAATGACTAAACTACAATACGAACTTGGTCCTGCCCCCCACAAGAATTTCTAACTCTTATCACTAAGTTCGTTTTTTTTTTTTTTTCTAATAATCCGAAACTTGTATTTAATTTCAACTAATTTAGAGACAAGTTATGCTAGATTTCATTAAAGAAAATTCTCTAAATATTTATTTTTTTATTTATAAAAGTTAAATTTAAAATTTTATTTTAAAAAAATTCTTTTTATTTAATTCAATAAGTTATTAATCTGTTCAAATTTCTTTAATACTAAATAATTAACTTTTAAAGTCTTAATTATCAAAAAAATCTCTAATTTTATAAATTTAATTATATTTAATTAAAAAATAAAAATTATTAAATAAAAAAATAATCTCGAGAGACTACTCATCTAAAATTGCACAAAAATTTTTTTTAAAGAAAAAAAAGCTTAAAAAATTGAGTAATCTCATGGCACATGTAGATCACACAAAGAGAATAAGCGGCCCCTACGGCCCTACCTCCAAAGGTACGGATTTTGAAGAACCCGCCCCTACCATGTGGGACGGTGGGTGACGATTGGCCCATTTCAAAAATCCAAAATAAATTTCCCTGCCCAATCCTCCCCAAACACAACAAACCGTCGTCGTTTCCTCTCACTCCCGTGTCTCCCTCTGCACGTGCCAAACACGTCCTCTCCTTCAAATTTCAAACGCTCCTCCGGTCCTCCCTCACGCATTCTCTCTCCCATTCATTCCCACTCTCTTCTTCCCTTTCACTCCTCAGAATCCTGTCTTCTACTCCCCTCCTTCTTCCAGAAGCTTCGAAGCTACTGCACTTCGAAGATTCTTCTGTTCTTCTGTTGGAAGATTTTCATAAAGAAATTGAGCGTTAAGGAATTGGGGCATTGATTGCTTCTGATACAAGTATATATTGATACGGGTGGAGAGAGTGGATGCAGATGAACGGAATGGGGAGGCAGGGGCAGAGATCTGGGGCGTCAGGGCTGCAAGTGCATCATCAACGGCAATACTCTGATAACTTCTTGGAAACGGCGTCCAATGGTAGATGGCTGCAGTCGGCTGGTCTTCAGCATCTTCAAACTTCTAGCACCTCCATTCCCCCTCTTCAGGTTCTCTTCCTTTCCCGTTTTCGTTTTGTCTAAGAGCCTTTGACCCTATTATTGTCTGCAGAGACGGAGGGAATTTTTCAAAGAATTAAAGATAATTTCTTTCCGTTATTTATAGCAAGAAGATTTAAGTTGAAATGTATTGAATTTTGTAGATCTGATGTTGTAAATCAGGTGAAAAACCATATTTATATTCTTTTGAATGAATTTTAGTTGTATTAATCAGCAAAGGATCAAGGAAATGGTGATCGAAGTAAGAAGTCACTTGGACTCATAGACTAAGCGCATTAACATAGATTAAAAAAAAAAAAGAGTTAAGAAAAGGGGCTTTTTGGGCGCCATTGTATTGTAGGAAAAATGGGGTTTTGTTACTTTATTGAGATCTGATGATATGATTGTAGTCTCGTTTTGTTTTCCTAGAATTATAAATATATATTACTATTGGTTGAGGAACATTTGAAAAGAAGATCAAGAGAAGAAAGTTGAATAAAAAGGGCCATTGTAGCCTTGTGTTAATTTTGGCATAAAGCAGTTTGATTTTATCAAATGCCGTTTATTGGGAACTAAGCAAGTTTTCATGGAATGAGCAACTTGTGGATCTTTGTAGGTCCAAATCAAATGTATGTTGCAACTGCTTGACTTTGCTACTTAATGGTTGAATTTTGAGTAGGATTATGGATTCTATGGTGGCAGTGGAGGGGGACAAGGGTCTAGGACTGCTCAAAGAGGTTTTAATGCAGGAAATGAGTACTTGACAGAGCCTACTACTCCTCCAGTTAGTTCTCGGCTGTTAAGCCAGCAGAGGAAGAACGGTGAAGACCTGAATGAGTTCAGTCCTGGGCTCTTAGATCTGCAATCTTTTGATACTGAGCTTCTTCCTGAGGTGGGCTTCTTATCATCTCTAGAAAATTTCATTCGTTGGAATTTCAGTTATTATAAATATGCCTATGGTGTGCCTAAGTAGTACTGATCTACTGATACGGTGATACTCTTCGTGGAAGGTATATTATATTGACCTGTTTGCCCACTGTGGAATAGAAACTTTAAAAATTAATATTGTTGTCTTCTATTCTTCATTGATGCTTATGATTTTTCTTTGTATATTTGTTTTAGCTACCAGTTCCTAGCTTGTATGATGGGCCTTCTCTCAATAACCATGTTAGAGGCAGAAGTTTTGATGATTCTGAGCCCTACATTTCAAGCAATAAACAGACAGGGAGAACTTGTGGTATGCCAGATAACAACCTCCTGAAGAGCTTTGCTGCTGACAAAGAGAAAGTCAATTCTGTTGCAAAAATTAAAGTTGTGGTATGTTTTCACTTGATTATATCTACTTAATTTTTAGTTATGAATACTCATGCAATGTCTACCATATCAACCATTGCTGCTTGATAGCTAAGAAATCACCCTGAACTACATTCATGCAGTTCTTGCATTCTGAAAGTGAAGCAACATTTATTTTATAATAAATGTCTGAAAACTGTTATTGTTGTTTTGTCTGCCAGGTGCGAAAGAGACCACTAAATAAAAAGGAGTTAGCTAAGAATGAGGAAGACATTGTAGAGACACATTTCAATTCTCTGGTAGTCCATGAGACTAAACTTAAGGTAAGATGGTTTTATCCTCTCTGTAATCTGGACCCAATTGTTTACCACATCATGTAAGTGAAATGAGAACAGGGTATCTGAAATGAACACAGAAAATCTGAGATATGAATTTCTAAAGCATTGACATTAGGTAACATAAAATAATGTGAATGTAAATGTTGTTGTAGCAATGCCAAGGTTTTGGATTTAATGATGTAAAAAGCTTTAGATACATATGTGTTCAAACCTTTTATGCCTGATGACTTGTTTTCATTGTTCAAAAACTGAAAGTTTATCATGTTTAGATTTTGAAATAATTTTTCATCTCTATACTCTTATCTTCTTTTTCTTTTTTTTTTTTTCTTTTTTTTGACACATCTGAATCTTAATAACCTGCAGGTTGACCTAACAGAATATGTGGAGAAGCATGAATTTGTTTTTGATGCTGTTCTCAATGAGGAAGTCTCAAATGATGAGGTTAGTGTTTGGCCTGAATATATCAGTGAATAAAAGGATGGAGAAATCATGAGAAATTGATCCTTGGAATGATTATGGTGCTCAGTCTCTCCTGGTCTTATTTTCTGTAGGTATATCGTGAAACTGTGGAGCCTATAGTTCCTATAATTTTTCAGCGCACCAAAGCGACCTGTTTTGCGTATGGGCAAACAGGTGAGTGGCTGTCTCTCGAGTTCATAGATTGATGCTATTTTAGAATTTGTTCTTAAACAGAAAGTTAGAATTTGTTCAATACATACAGTTAATCTTGATTAGCCTTCTTCATTCTTAATATTTTTGTAACTCTTCTAGTGTAATCCTCTGTGATGTATGAGGATAAACATGCCATCTAATGTTAGGAAGTGGCTTGGTTTATTTCTTAGTGAATCTTCTTTAGTTCCCTTGAAGTTGAGTGATATGGTGTAGGCTTTCCCTATATGGTTATTTTTACTGCAAAATTATTATTGATGACTTGTCCATGCATTTTCTTCATCCATAGAGTCATCTCATCTTAGATCTATTGCTTTAAGCCAGCTTGAACAGATAGTTCTTTTCCCTTTCAGGAAGTGGGAAAACATATACAATGAAGCCATTGCCTCTTAAAGCTTCTCGTGATATCTTGAGGTTGATGCACCATACTTATAGGAACCAAGGATTTCAGTTGTTTGTCAGCTTTTTTGAGATATATGGAGGAAAATTGTTTGACCTCCTCAGTGACAGGAAGTAAGTTGACATACTTTTTCTCTTTATTTACTCGCTACTCAAGAGATCTACTTTTCCAACTAAATCTCTGCTTGTGCAGAAAACTTTGTATGAGAGAGGATGGTAAGCAGCAAGTTTGCATTGTGGGTTTGCAAGAGTACAGAGTATCAGACGTAGAGACAATTAGGGAGCTTATTGAGAAAGGCAATGCCACAAGAAGTACCGGCACCACTGGTGCAAATGAAGAATCCTCCCGTTCCCATGCCATTCTTCAGCTTGCCATCAAGAGATCTGTTGATGGCAATGAATCAAAGCCCCCCCGTGTTGTTGGCAAGCTCTCCTTTATAGATCTGGCTGGAAGTGAGCGTGGTGCAGATACTACAGATAATGATAAGCAGACCAGGTACAATATGTTCCTGTCTTTTCTTTGAATTGCAAAATGATATGTACCATGGATATGGAACATATATGGTTGTTACTTGTTATGTCAGACATTGAATCTGTTTATCTACATGCAATATTGGGCTATTCGCAATTTTAATTGTAGTTACAGTTTTGATTTTTTTGAACATATTCCACCAAAAACAGAAAAAAAGAAAAAAAGAAAAAAAAGTATAAACACTTTCTGGAGGCAATAGTTGGGAATAAAAGGAATGTTTTGGCTTCTGCTATTTGTGCATAGTAAGAATATGAAGCTTTATGCCTGTAGATGTGCTCACATACATGCAGGCATGTCTATAATCCTTTTTGGACTCAGCTATTTGGAATCTGAAACCAGAAACCATGAGGTTTTGTGTTTGACTTTGGTCAATTAACATGCATGTGGTTTGTTTAATTTACAAATATTAGACAAAGTAAGTTATGCCATATTGGATTGAATTTTTTAATTATGTCATTTTTTGGCATTATAGATCTCTTTAACCTCCTATTTTTTATAGTTTTCTGATGGTCTGATTGTTAACAAAGCATAATTAAATTCGGTATTGTTTCATCTGAAATTTGATTCAGTTAAGGATAGTCTCCAGCCCCAGAATTCTATTTTTGTTATTGTTTATTTTTCTCTTTTAAATTATGTATACGGTTAATGGTTTTCTTCATTTAGACATAAACTCTCAATTTTTGCTTCTTAATTTTTGTAGATGTGATTGGTTAATTTGCCGTTTCTAATATGTGATGCAGAATGGAAGGTGCAGAGATCAACAAGAGCTTGCTTGCGTTGAAGGAGTGTATAAGAGCTCTTGACAATGATCAAGGTCACATTCCTTTCAGAGGCAGCAAATTGACTGAGGTTCTGAGGGATTCATTTATGGGCAATTCACGCACTGTTATGATATCATGCATTTCACCAGGCTCTGGGTCGTGTGAGCACACTTTGAACACTCTAAGATATGCTGATAGGTAAATTGTTTTTTGATTCAAAATTTATTTTATCATTTATTTCATTTGTTATGATTTCTGCATATGTGAATGTTATAAATTATATTACAGGGTAAAGAGCCTTTCAAAAGGAAATAACACAAAGAAGGATGTGTTGTCTTCGACCTTAAACTTGAAAGAATCAACCAAATTGCCTTTATCTTCTGTTTTACAAACTGCTTCCACTGTGGAGGATGATATAACTGACACATGGCCTGAACAAGATGAAAGAGATGATTTTGATGCATCAGAAGATTCTTATGAACCAGAGAAACCGATGTGGAAGAAAAATGGGAAGCTAGATCCATACAGCTTTTCTTCTTCAGAGGACAAAGTATGGAAACCCAATAGTCAGACAAAATGGAACGACCTGCCAAAATCTGATCTGAGAAATTCAAGTTCAGATGATGATCTGAATGCTCTGCTTCAGGTATTTACATGACAGATGATGGTTCTAGATGTGGTGAAAACAATGTGCTTTTGTCTAAATCTTCTGTTACTCTTACCCAGGAAGAAGAGGATCTTGTAAATGCTCATCGAAAGCAAGTGGAGGAGACTATGAATATTGTCAGAGAGGTAAAGCTTCTAAAGCCCAACTGCTCGTCCCAGATTCTTATCCACCATAACCACATATCTGTATGTTCAGTCTGCACTCGTGCATTTTAGCTTAGTTGATACAAGAATTAAATGAGATTTGAAGTAGGTCTTTCGTTCAAATCTTTATATTTGAAAGTGGTTCAGCATGCCATAAAACTGGTTAACATTACAGTGATGATAATTTTCAGATTTTTTTGTGCAAATAAGAAAATTCTTTTGCTCAATCTGGTTTCCATATTACTGAAGATATGCAAACCATTGGCAAGTCAACCATGTTGTTGGAGATGCTGTTTGTATGCTTTTTCTAAATATGTGCAGCAAACGTTTTAATAGATCATTTCTGTAGAAATAATATAACATAGGTCTAACATGTGGTTATCTGCAGGAGATGAACCTATTGGTCGAAGCAGATCAACCCGGGAACCAGCTGGATGATTATATTTCTAGACTGAATGCTATTCTTTCTCAGAAGGCTGCAGGCATTGTGCAATTACAAACTCATCTGGCTAACTTTCAAAGACGTTTAAAGGAGCATAATGTTCTAGTATCTTCTTCAGGCTATTAATAACTTACAGAGATGGCAACGCATACAGAAAGTCAAATTTCAAAAACTCATTTCAGAATACATATCAAGATTGTTGGACTGATTCAGGGTTTAGTTCTCATGTAACTCGTGTAATCTTTATTACACATGAGGAGCTGGAGATTGCCTTGGATGACGGTCTGTGTATTACATGATACTATTCTTTCTATTTCTTTCATTTCTTGAACATGTTATAGGCAGATGTTGGATTCATGCCTTTTGGCATGCTATTGTAAATTTTTCTGCAGCATTGTAATTTGATACATTTATATTGGAATACTTGGATGCAGTGTTGCATAAGTTGTTAGCCGGTACCCAGGCTTTGGGCCATTGCCCGGCACTTAGCAGCGCTTAGGAGGCACCCCCTAAGCGCTGCTAAGTGCTCTAGGCATTTTTATAGTTCCGTGAAAAATAAAGAGTCAAAATAGAATAAAAAATGTAAAAAATAGAGAAAACACCAAGTTCCATCCCCTAGTGCTTAAGCGGTGTTTGGGTGAGCTTTTTATAATGGGAACCAAAGTGGTTGGATTCACTACCTATCAATAAGTTAGGTCAGCATTTAAGTTTTAGAGTCTATTTAAAAAAAAAAAGAAAAAGAAAAATTCTTGAATGCACTAAGTAGATAAAGGGCATGTACTTAAGTAGATCGAGCAAACAGATCAGATTGGGTGGGTTTGAATTGGGTTGTTTCAGATTTTAAATTATTTGGATTGGGTCATTTTGGGTGTCGAGTTAAAAAGGTTGACTCATGATCCAGCCACATAGGTCTCGAATTGAATTGGATGGACCAAACTTTTAAAAAATTAAAATTAAAATTAAAATTAAAATTTTTCAATATTTTTCTCTATTTTTCTTTAACAAAATCTATTCTTAATTACCTATTTAGTTAGAAAATTCTATTAAATGTTAATTTTCATTTCATAATTCAATTTTTTTCTAATCTCAAGAAAAAAAAAAGGAAAAGATTAGTGATTATATAGATGGAACTAAAATATATTTTAAATAATAATACTTATTCAATATTTAGAATTCATAATTTCATAAAGTATTAACCTTCATTAAAAAGAAAGACATGAAATATTAGAGTTCAAATGACAAATCCAATATGTGTATTAATATCTAGTGCCTATTCAATATTTATAATATTTATAAGAGTATTATACAAAAAATACAATTCTATTCAATATTTAGGAGGATATTATACAAAAAATATAGTTTTATTCAATATTAAAGTTTAAAAGGCAAATCCAAAATATATCTAACCAAATACAAGAAGAAATTGGATCGAAATTGATTTTTATTAATTAGGAATAAATTATTAATTAAGAACAAATTAGTAACTAAGAACGGATCTTGATGTTCTCGATATTCCTGTCTTTGTACTTTTAATGGTTATGAGGATACCTCAACTATTAGGTTTTGATTTTCAGTAGGCATTCTTGCTTTTATTAAAAAAAATTATTTTTTTTACGATATCATATGACATAATTCACTATATGCCACCTAATCTAATTTTTGACGCAAGTGCCACCAAAGAAAATGATTAGAGAGCTTGAGATGAAGATGGGGGAAGTGAGAGTGGAGAAGAGGAAAAGTTGAGAGAAAGTGAAATTGATGAGAGGTAGTGAAATTGATGAGATGATAGGATTTGCGTATTTTATTTATTTCTACTTTTAAAATTATGAAATTGAAAATTTAACATTAATTTTTAAGTAATTTAATAAAAATGAATAAAAAAAAAGTTTGGGTCATTTCGAGTGACTTGATCCAACTCATTTGGGTTCAGATAATTTCAATCTGGGTTATTTTAAATTTCATATTAACACATAGGTCTTATGACCCTACCCATAACAAATGGGTTGGGTCAGATTTTTAGATTAGGTCTAATTTTGTCAAATCTATCCTTAAGATAGTTTGGGAAGGAATTGGAATTGAGGAGTGTGAAAGCTAGTCTAAGAATATTGATCATAAATATCAAACAAAACTTCAATTTTGGTCTCTCAATTTTGGTATAGATCTTTGATTTGGTCTCTAAATTAAATAAATTTTTATTTTGATTCTTAAAGTTTAATTTTTAGCTTTTTTATAGTCGTTTCCTTAAATTAGCATACATGACAGTGTAATTAACATCACGATTTGATTTTCTTTCTTTCAAATTAACCACTCAAAAAGCTGACTTTAAAAAATCTCAATAGGGGGAAACAAGGGGAAAATTTTTTCTCCCTTAACCAAACACGCGGTCTTACAGCTAGATCTGAAAATTAACAACCGAAAATTTATGTGAACTGTCTAGGTTTTTTTTTTTTTTTTCCTTTGCTTGAGTAGGGGATTCACTTGTAGTCGGATTCATTTAACAATTGAAAACTAACGTAAGTTACGTAACATCTGCACATCTAAGTTTTTAACTTTGATATTTCTTGATTTTCATTACCTTA